GAGATTTCGGAGCGCTTGGAGGTATTCAAGAGGGCCTGAGGAATTGACGCGTTAGCATGGAGCTGCAGAAGTATACTATATATCAAAAGGAACTTGCGATTTTGTTGCCGACACCACTACGGCCTTCACCACCTCCTCCACCGACGAGTAGCAAGCCATGATGACGCGGGTCGAAGTCGGCGGCGAAGAGCGGGCATGAGAGAGTCAGTTTGGCCGAGGGAATGGAGGGAGCCATGTTGGGCGGGTGGGATCCCGGGGGATGGATCGAGTTCAATCCCCGAAGAAAGTAATTATAATTCGAATGGCACGGGAAAGAGATAAGTTGTAGGAGGGGGAGAGTTGCAGAAGGGGAAGAGGAGAGAAGAAGCGAAGAAGAAGCCAGAATGACGAAGCGGAGAGCATGTCGATCTCTTGGCGATCGGCCGAGGCTCGAATCGATCCCCATTGTTACTTTTTTTACTGCCAGCAACTTTATCCTAGATCTATCTTCTTATTATTCATGCAATCAATGAATTGAATATGGTCTAGGGCCACTGTTCAGCCCATCTAAATAGACATAGCTTTCTTTTGGTTTAAAATTAGACAAATTCTCTCTCCATCTACTCCACCTCCTGGCCAGTGAACTCGGGCAGGCGCTTGCGCACATCCTCCCAAGTCTCCTCACCCTCCACCAGGGACTTGATCGCCTGGGCAATCTCGTCCTCGCTGGCGCGAACCTGCTTGGTCGAGTCACGGTCACGCAGGGTGAAAGTGTTGTCCTTGACGGACTGGAAATCGACCGTCACACCGAACGGCGTACCCAGCTCGTCGTTGCGAGCGTAGCGCTTACCGATACTGGCGGAAGAGTCATCCACACGGTTGGACACTCCCATACGACGCAGCTTAGTAGTCAGACGCTGCACCAGCGGCGCGAACGACTGGTGCGTCGACAGCGGCACGATCAGCACCTTGGTCGGGGCAATCGCGGGAGGGAAGGACAGGACCTAGCAATTCATCCATTAGCATCACGAATCAACCATAGTAAAAAGGGGGAACAAGGTCAGAAGAGGGAAGGAAACTTACACCACGGGCCTCATCACCCTCACGGGACCAGTAAACCTGCTCGATCATGCTGTACAGGATACGACCAATACCGAACGAGGGCTCAATGACATTAGGCGTGTACTCGCGCACATTCTCCACGCGAGTGCGCTTCTCAATCTTGATCAGCTCCTTGTCCAGCTCAACCTTGCCGCCAGCGACACCCTCAACTTCCACCTCGATCTTGCCGGTCTGCTCGAGGTCGAGCGACAGCTTCTCGCGCAGCTCCTGCGATAGAGCATCAATGGCCGCCGTCACAGTCTTGCCGTCCTTCTTGAAGCGGGGACCGAACTTCTTCTTGTCCAGGTCAATCTGCCACTCCTCCACCTTGAGGGGCTCCGCCCGAGTCTCACGGACAACGAGCGGGGCGCCGGTCTTGTTCTTGTGCACGGTCAAATCGTAGGCACTGCGGTCAGCGCAGCCCACACACTCAATCCAGCCGTAGCTGGTCTGCAGCTCGGCATCCCAGCAGTCGGTGGCGTAGTGAGCCATCTCGTTAGCCATGTGCTGGCGGAAGCGCAGCTTCTTGGGGTCCACACCCAGCTTGAGCAGGAACAGCTGGATACGAGCCAGGAAGTAACCCAGGGTCTCGTTGTCGACCAGGCCAGTCTCGACGGCCTTGCCGATGGTCATCTCCTCGGTCTTGGTGCTACCGGACAGCTGGATGTCGCGGTTGAGCAGGGTCATCTTGACGTCCTTGACCTCCTCGAAGCGGGCGTGCTTCTTGCCACCCTGGGGGTCGACAAAGTGCTCGATCTCAGCCATCAGGAACTCACGCACCCGCAGCAGACCGGCGCGCGGGGAGATCTCGTTCCGGAACGACTTGCCGATGGAGGCAGAGGCGAAGGGCATAGACTGCTGGTTGAACTCAAGCAGCTTCTGGAAGTTGAGGAACTGACCCTGAGCGGTCTCCGGGCGCAGGTAGCCGGGCATGTTGCTGCTGGGGCCGATCGAGGTCTGGAACATCAGGTTGAAGGCCACGGGGGGCAGGAGGTTGCCATCGGTGGTGGGGTTGCGGATGTCGTACTTGGCGATGATCTTCTCGAGTTCGGGGCCGTCGAAGTTGTCGATCTGGGCGAGGGTCTCCTCGTACTCCTTGACAACGGCGTCATCCAGCTTAACCGCCTTGGTCTGCTTGACCTTCTTCTTCTTCTTGGCCTCCTTCTCCTCGTCCACCTCAACCTTCTGGCCACGGGCCTCCTTGTCACCCTTCAGACGGGCCTCGAGCACTTCCTCGACCAAGTGGTCGGCGCGGAAGATCTCGCCGGTCTTGGGGTCCTTGCACATCCAGTCGGCGAACTTGTCGACGTGACCACTGGTCTTCAGGATCTCGTGCGGGGTGAGCATAGTGCAGTCGACCTCGAGCATGTCCTCCTCCAGGACGAAGTGCTTGCGCCACAAATCGACAATGTTGTTCAGAACGGCGCAACCGGGCGGGCCATAGTCGTAGAGGCCGGAGACACCACCGTAGATCTCAAAGGAAGGGGTATAGAAGAGACGGCGGCGCAGCATAGAGTCCAAGACGGACCGGTCGACGACCTGGCCGGTCTTGGTGGAAAGGGAAGCCATTTTGGTGGACTTCTTTTTGGAGGACGGCTGAGGGAGATGATGTCGCGTACGGGGGAGGGAGGTGGAAAAGGAACGGGGAGGAAGAATAAAGGAGGAGGAGGAGGGGGAGCTGGCGCAAGTGGGGGGAAGACGAAAAGCCAGAAGTTGGCGATGAAGAAGACGATTAGGATGGCGGGGACAAAAAGACCGAAAAGAGGGACCCAATGCCCGCCGACACCTCAGGCCGCCCAGCCGCTGAGCGCTGCTGCAGTGACTCATCCGCCTGCCCTTTTGCTCAACTCTCCACCAATCCACAAGTTTGCCGTCGATAAGGAATGCGGAGACAAGGGACTTATGCGGGGTTGTAATGGCCTTGATTCTCTTCCGGCGAATTATCCTCCTTCTTTCGCCAAATAAACACGAAAGGAATCCAATTTCTGGCCGATCGCGAGAAAGCTGAACTTCCCTTCATTTCCCAATCGAGCCGCGCCCTGGCTGACTCAGCGGGCCTTTTCTCACCGCCGGATGAACACTTGATCCGCCAGATTTTTTTGGATAGCCCAAACGGGTAATCCAATATTGATATCTTCATTGCTTCGACTCAACTATTTCCTACCCCTCCATCGTTCACCCCAATTCCAGCAAACGATGGTTTCGAAGAAAGCTTCCCACCGGCCGCCCCCGGGCGTCGGTCTCGACGCAAAGCCCCGCAACAAGATCCAGCGCAAACTCCTCCATATCAAGCGCAAGCGCGCCAAGGACTCTTCTCGCCGTGCCGAACGATATGCTTTCAAGAAGGAAGAGGCCAAGAACCCCAAGCTGAAGGAGGAGCGTCTGAAGCGCAACATTCCCCTGACCATCGACCGCAAGCGAGTCTGGGATGACGCCGGCAGCGACGTTGAGGACGGTCTGGGACTGAGCGTGGACGTCGAGCGCATCAAGCGGCGCAAGCAAGAGGAAGAAGAAGAGCTGAACCGGCCCCTGAACGAGGACGAGCAATCCTCCGACGCCGAAGAAAAAGGATCAGAGGATGACGAGGACGACGACGTGGACAGCATGCTCGCCAGCAGCGACGAGGAAGACGAAGACGCCTCGGACGACGACGAAGACTCAGACTCAGACTCCGACAAGAAGAAATCGAAATCCTCCGACTCGACTCGCGGCCGCAGCAAATCATCCCTCCCAACAGCCACAGAGCGCGCCACCAGCCCCTCCCAATCGACCAAGAGCACCAACCTAAATCTCGTCCCCGAAGCCCTAGCAGCCAAATTCCCCTCCCTCTTCAGCACCGAGAACCCCAAGTCCCCTAAGATCCTCATCACGACGTCCCTCAACTCGTCCCTTCACCACGAAGCCGAGCTCCTCACCGACCTGTTCCCCAACTCCGTCTACGTCCGCCGCACGCGCCACCGCTTCGCGCACCAATTCTCCATCCGCGAGATCTCCAAGTTCGCCACGAACCGCAACTTCACGGCGGTGGTGATCCTCCGCGAAGACCAGAAGAAGCCCGCCGGTCTGGACATCGTGCATCTTCCCACCGGTCCCATGTTCCACTTCTCCATGACGAACTGGGTCGAGGGCAAGCGCATCCCGGGTCACGGTCGCGCTACGGACCACTGGCCCGAGTTGATTTTGAACAACTTCCGCACGCCGCTGGGTCTGTTGACGGCGCATTTGTTCCGGACGTTGTTCCCGCCCCAGCCTGATATCGAGGGCCGGCAGGTCGTGACGGTGCTGAATAGTCGTGATTATTTGTTCTTCCGTCGTCATCGGTATGTCTTCCGGGAGAAGAGGGAGACGGAGAAGGCAGTTGTGGGTGCCGACGGAAAGGAGATGAAGGGCGCGGAGGGGATTAGAGCGGGTATGCAGGAACTAGGACCCCGGTTTACGTTGAAGTTGCGCAGAGTTGATAAGGGCATCCAAAGAGCTAGTGGACAGGAGTGGGAGTGGAAGGGACAAATGGAGAAGACGAGGACGAAGTTCCAGCTGTAGTTCTTGCTTTCTTCCTTGCTTCCTACTTGTTTGGTATCTACCCACCCGCTGTTGTCTTTGTTTTGTTTTGTCTAGCCTGTTGATGTTGTGCTCGACTGCATTGGGTTCGGGGCGTTAGGATAAAAAAGGTCTTTTCTGTTGTTTCTTCACTTGTTTTCTATTTGTTGTATGTACGTTGGAGATATCACATCTATATGGTCTGTGCGAGGCGAATAGATACAAAAAGTCTGAACTGTCTCCATTGGAGGTTATATCTTCAAGATAAAGCCTGAGCAAAGTCCATACCGATCCACGGTATGGTATAAGTGATAATAGAATCATAATCATAAGGTCATCAACAGAATTAGAAGAGGAAGGGAGAAGGATATCCACATATCTGCTCACGTCAACGGCTTCCGCCCCGTCACGATCTTCACCCTCGCACTAATCCGATACACGCCTTGCAAGATCTCCGCACGCACCTGGTCACATAGTTCGCGCACCTCCTCCGCCACCCAGCCATATGTAGTGGTCAGGGCGCGCAAACTATATGATTCCAGGCCTTCCAGTAAGGCAATAAGGCCCATTTTGCCGACGGTCCGGTCATGCGGCGACTCGGGCCACAGACCGATGGGGAACGTGTACTCGCGGACATCAATATCGATGAACCCCTGAGCACGGAAGAGCGCGGGCTGGAGATGGCTTAGATCGCGCAGGTAACCTGCCGAGTAGTCTGCGGAGCGGAGGGCGGAGGCAAAGAGACGTAGGTAGGAGTTCGGTGGGAGGGCAATCATGGTTTCAGCGGCGAAGTCGGTATCTGCGACTTCGAGGTAACCGCCGGGAGCAAGGTGGTCAAAGGCTTGCTGGTAGATAAAGGACCAGTCGGGGAAGGCGCCAGAGAGGCCGCGGAGGTGGATGAGGTCGAAGGGGATGTCGTAGGCCCATTCGTCGCGGGCGTCGTCGAGGTGGAAGGAGAGGTTGGGGAGGTCGACATGGCCGAGGGCGTTGTCGAAGACGCCGATGTCAGAAGCAATGATGGTGCCGTGGGGGTAGGCGTGGCTCATTTCAATGGCCCAGTCACCGGGACCGGTGCCGATGTCGAGGACGCGAGGCGCATTGGTAACTATGGGGGCGGCGGTTAGATGACCGTCTAGGAGGATGAGGTAGATCTGGTGGACGATGTTCAGACGGGTTCGTTCGGGTTCATCGTTGGGCATGTGGTATGAGTCGTTGGGGTAGCGACGGTTATTCTCTTCGTAGATGTCGAGTTGGTGTGTCTCATACGAGTTGCTGGTGGTGGTGTATGGTTAGCAACTCCACTGGGGGTTGGCATTGCAGGATACCAAGAAAGGTATTGCATACATGGATGCTTCGTCCGAGTCTGCATCTGACTCGAAGTTGGACTCGGGATCCGGAGGAGGCTTGGCCCATGATTGCTTCTGCGCATTCTCACTCTCGTCGGGCTCGACGATTGGCTCGGTTTGGCCCAACGGCTGGAGATCTTTTGCCTCCATGACATGACGAAGTTGAGAGGGGTGTTCGGTGAAGGGTGTGGCGTGCTCAGGTTTATAGAGAGGCTTCTCTTGAAGACAGAGGCCGACGTCAGGCCCGATCAAGCTTAGGGCAGCACTTTCTGTAGCAACTCTCAAGGTGCAACCACAACCAGGATCATACGGGGCCGTCAAACATGTGCCACGAGTGCTAATAGCGAGCTTCACTGACACGTAGGAGGTGAATAGTTCATCGTTTCTGTTCCAGCCCAAGAGCACACACAGGGAGGAGGAAGAAAAAAAGCAAAGATGGCGGAAGATGCCGAGAATGACGCAGTTGGTCGAAGTAGTGCTGGAGGACAAACACGGAGATTTCTCAACGGCTTGGGGAGCACGAGGAATTGGACGACGGGCCCCGGATGGTCGGAATATAGTACATTGGCTGGCCTAGTGAGAGGAACTCGACCAGGTGGGCTGTGAACAGTGAGGGAGAGGAAGAGTAAAAAGCCGGAGAAAAGAAGGGAAAGATGGCATAGAAGCTATGCCAGCTTAGAAGGGCAGTTGATCAGCACCGAGGCCGTGATAGACGACCCAAGGCCGCTGGACTAGTTCGTGCACAGCGCATGCTGAGAGGCCGAGAGAAGTCTCTAGACCCATCGATGCAGAGGCAGGCTGGAAGGCCCCGTTCTGATCGACGGGAACGGGCCAGTTTCTGGGACACCAACTGCAGTGCGACTAGGCAAAGCACACGAGACGCCATGCAGCCAGCGGTCCTTTCATTTCCCCGTTTTGTGGCAGCCGGGATGGTCGTTCCCTAGTCCTGGGTCGATTTTGGCCCGATCGCCTGGCTTAGTCTGGAAGTGTCGGGGAAGAGACAAGACGCTTTAGGCTGATAGGTTAGAGGGACAGTTCGGGCGGTCATCTTGTAGTTGTAGCCTTGTGAGTTCTGTTTTTAGTGCAGTGTGGCGTCTGGCACAGCCTGACGCTGAGGCTGTAGGGACAAGGATATGTATGGTATTTGGTCAAGCATTTCTCCACATGAGATCCATAGGTAGCAGCTTTGCTATTAGTTAATTACTAACAGTTAGATATGTGAGTCAGAAAGTGAGTCAACTCAGCGGGGTGAGCATGCAAGTACATTTGGTGGTCCTGTTCTTGATGGATGGAAGAAGGAAGTATACAGTTCCTGCAATGACGAAATGAGTAGCAGTCAGTAGTGTAGCATAGTATAAGAAAGAACCCCAATTCCACACCAGTAAAATGATGACCTCAGAAATAAATCATCACATCCACACCAGAAATATATGCCATGGACACCAATCCATCCCAATCAAGTGGAAACAGCAAAGTAAAGCGAAACAAAAGCAAGTTACCGTCGATGCATGAAGCAGTAGTGCTGCGCAGCGCCCAAACCACGGAACAGGAACAGGAACAAGAGGAAGATCACCACCACCACCAACCATCCGCAAAATCCACCACCACAACCGTCCCCCTCAACCACAACCCCGATAATACCTCACCCTCAATGTCTGCCCCTCCCCCCCTCAAAACCCCCCGACGCTTCCTCTTCATCGCCTCAATCGGCAACCCACGCCCATACCGCACAACGCGACACAGCGCCGGCCACATCCTCCTCGAAGCCCTGACGCCACTTCTCCCACGCCGAGTCCCTCTCGTGGGCACCTCTCCCAACAATGGCAACATAATAAATCCACTGTTTTACAAAACCTACACCAGCCCGTCATACATGAACGAATCGGGTCCCAAACTCCTCCGCAACTTCCAATCGTGGCTCTCATCCACCCAAACCGAAATATACCAGAAGATCGTGCAGTCGGGGAATGTACTCTCCACAGACCCTACATCAGACACAGCAGCAGAATGGCACCTCCGGGGCACCGATCCGACAACACTCCGAAACTTCTCCCCGACACTAGTCATCCTCCATGATGAATTGGAAGCGCCGTTGGGAAAAGTCCGGGTGAAGAGAGGTGGGCCCGAGAAGGCGAGTTTAAGGGGACATCGGGGATTAATCAGTTCGTTTGAGAGTTTGAGGGGCAAGGGGCTGTATCCTCCCAATCCGAAGAAGAATGTTCTTGGGGCCGGGGTGGATTTGTCGGTGTTGAGGATTGGGGTGGGGATTGGGAGGCCCGAGACGAGGGATCGAGGAGGTGTTGCGAAGTATGTCCTGTCTGAAATGAGTGAGCAGGAGTTGAAGGCTGTGAGGGCTGCCGCGGGGCCGGTTTTGGAGGTGTTGGTGGATGAGTTGTATAGAGATGGTGCGGAGTGATTCTTTTGGGGGGATCTTTTGGTGTCTATGGCCCGTTGTATGATATTGTTACTTATTGTGTATTTATAGATAGATTAGATAGAGGTGGTTTAGAGATACCCTTATATTATTAGACTTGCTTTTTCCCTCTGCAGTCTACGCTTTCATCTACGTGCATATGGATCCGACTGGAAGATATTCCCAAAGAAATAGTGTTAACAATAATACCAAGGCTTGGATGCAGAATGATTAAAGCGGCTATCATCGCACGCAATTAAAGAAAACAGACAAGCAAAGAATTGAACTCCACTCCAAAGTATGACGAACGAACAAACTATCAGACCGTGCCTGCTATGCTCAAATCCCGAATCTCCTGCAACACCTCTTCCACCCGGTTGTCCAGGTCTCCCCGAGCATACTGGTCCCTCGTCTCTGCATCCAAGTACTGTTGCACCTGCGCCATGCGCGAGTATGCCTCCGCACAGAACCGCAGTTGAATCTTTACCAGGGCCTCGAAGCTAGGATCCAGGTACGGCACTCGCAGGTCGATGAGCTGGGGCAGTTCAGTGAAAAGCTGTTCGTTCAACTGCTCATACGCTTGCTTGGCGATTTCCGTCTCGCGCTCCGTCCGGGGCAGTTTCGTCGCATCCTTATCAGGCTTCTCAACCAGCTTCTTGACCTTGGCGCGCATCGAATCGTAATCGAGTAACTTGTGGTTGCGCTTCTTAATGCACTCGTTGATATCCGGGAAGTAGGCACAGAACCGAGAGATGGGTTCCAACACAGTCGAGCTATAAAATACCAGTCAACCAATGAGTCGCAATGCCCAATAGGGCGTCCCAGCAATGACTCCCAAACGTACCGGTACGGGCCGTCCAGCGCCTTGATCGTTTCCGCATCCAGATCCTCCACAGCCTGCTTATAACTCCGACTCACTCCGTCGTTGGTTCCAGCATCACCATAGAAGGCATCAATAGTCTCAGCGATCCGCATCTGCGAGGCAGTCATAGCTATCCATCACCATCCAACGTCAGCATCCGCCTCCGCATCATACCCAATATAGCGACCGGAGTATCAAAACACACCTCGTAGCGAATCCAAGTATCCCTTTGCCTCTTTCTGTAACCGATTTGCGGCGGCTTCCATCGTCCGGTACCGACTATATCGCATCGTGTCCATGTCAGTCAAACAAGTTGCCTCCCCTTTCCAATCAGTCGGACAATCCATACCGCTCTTCAATCTCATAATCGCGATCACTTGTGCGCTCCACATGTCCTGTTTAACCCAAGTCAATGCGTCAGTATAATCCAAGCAATACCACCGAGCAACATGTCGTAGAGGTATTCGTCCCCAACTCGAGCGGGGTTATAATCCCACATACCCGTCTTCATCATCACCTGCGTGGTAGCGCGGTTGACATTTTTCTTGAACCCTGTAGACCCAGTCAGAATGACAATTCCGGTAGGGATGGGCGCCTATACGGCGCAGGATCCATCGATAGGTAGGAACGGGGAGTATTCAGCGCACCTGCCCAGGACATGATGGCGACTTCAGTAGCGGTCGGTCGGGGGGGTCCGGTAACCAGTTAGGGGGTGGGGTGTGTATGTTCGAGATTAAAGAACCGGTAACTCCGTAGGTGGAGGACAAAGTGGGTTGCTGGATATAGTAGATGTATAATGTGAGGAGAGGGGGGGATGAGAATAGACACAGGGTTGATTGAATGAATGCGAAAGGCCCTCAGAAAGCAAGATGCCCGATGCGGGACGGAATGATGTTCGGAGACGTTCGATTGATTGATTGATTGGCGTGGCTGTGGCTGTGCACTTTTCTGCCTGGATCCCGTGGCTGTGTCATAATTATTTACTAAATCTTACTGTTCGGTTGTTAATCTTACAGCCCTACGAAATGGGAAGTGTAAAATTACCCGCAAAAGTTTACGAAACAGCCGTTTTGAACTTCCGACTGCCGGTTCTGCTCGTTTCTGACGTCATAAGGCCGGCCCCTCCTCTCCGTGTAATTAATGGAATCTGGCAGCCTGCAATCCGAGACTTCTCCAGGCAGATGGGGATGGTGATGTCAAAGAGGAAGGGGGTGGGTTGGGTTTGCCTTGTGCCTGAGTATGACTTTGGATGTAGCTGGAGACGTCATGATGCCAGCCAGATCGAGCGACCATCATGATGTGACACAAGATACATCGGAGGTTCGATGTCCTGTTGCCCTATGGGGCAATCAGAATGTATCCTACACCATCTTCATGCCGCATAATGCACTTCATGCGATGGCATTAAACTTCATGTAATAGTGTAGCATTTATCTGGAGTGCATTCGAGATTCTGTCAAGCGACAGTAAAAGTTGTAAGCGAAGTATGGGGTACATGCAACCCTGATCTCGATGTTTGTGGTCGCACAAACATTCTTCACGCTTCCAATACCCCTTAGGCAAGCGCACACTATTCAAAATCACCTGCAGCTCGATGCTTCTTATGCCGCGGCTATAGTATACTAGGATGAGCACCTTATTCATGCGAAGCAATCCGTGTTTATCCGCGTTTGTCGGGTACCATCCTCAAAGACCGCGAAGTATACCAGTGACGGGGCGAGTCTATTATTCATCGCTCCTGAAGATAGTAGATAAGTATACCGAAGGGATCAATCCTATTGTAAAACCCAATAAGCAGCGATTTCTTCGGACAAACCCGCACTTGAGGATTCACAGGTATGCGTTGAAGGTATACAAGGACGAGGGCACCAAATTGACTTCGCAATGAGAGACAATTTGCCAAGTATAATCGACATCGGCACCTCCCTTAGTTTGGGATCCAGACCCAAATCCTACTCAATGAGGCTAGTATGGCCAGCCTTGCATGGCTGACATCCACCTGATTTCCAATCGGCCTTCAGGTGGGTGTTCCTTACCTTCAGGGTCGTGGTCGTTGGCGGCCCTGGATTGCCCATAATTAGTCTCGGCTTAGGTAAAAAATGGTGCTGCCTGTCCGGGTTGCACGACGTGATCCTTCTGGGCGAGGACAACTGCATAGGGCTGGCCAGACTGCCGAGGGCGGCATTCCACAACGGGATCGGGCAGTGGCTCGAACAAAGGGGGATGAATCATGCATGCTTGTGTTGGGTTGAAGACGGTCAGGAGAATTAGTAATGATACATAATAGAAAGGGAAAGTGCTTCAACATAGATATGCAATGTTGTGGTTGTCGTCCAGCGGACAAAACAATCACAAAGCTAGTGGACACACAATACCTATCCATTACAACAGACCAGACTCACCTGCTGAGCGCTGCTGAGCTGTTCGAGCTCCACCAGGCCAGGGTTTCAGCAAGCTAGCCTTCCTCCGAGGATTGGTTCCTATTGAACTACGGGCTCGCGTTCCTTTTTGGGGCTGCATGATGCGCCAAGCAAGCTTGATCTGGCTCGCGTCCGGCGTCCCCTCCGTTTGCAGCTCCGTACGGCGCATGTTTTGTTATGATAACCCCGATTGATTGGGCAGCCGGCCTACCTGAGGCACCTGATGCATCTGATGCATACAGCCTTCTCAGGCGTACCTAGGTACATTAATTGGAGTCTTCCAGACCTCCAGACCGATTCTCTTATCCTTTGGCATGGAGTGTTGAGGATTGGAGAATGCTGTGCCTCTTGGCTGCCTAGGAAATCTTGGCATCGATAGAAGTATGGGCCCAAGACAATAGTAAGAAGTCGCTCACGCATCGGCCCCTATGCTAGTTGTACTTTCGATTAAGAAGTCCCTCATGCAAACATTATTGGACGGATCCACACCTTTCACCATCCTGGTGTGAGAATTTTTCTTTGGCTGCTGGAAGAAGGTTGGCCCTATTGCAGACGTCGGCGTGTAACCATTTCCAGCTGTTGAAAGGGGATAGTCAGAAGCTGGCCTACCTTGCACAGGGCCCGTTGCTTGCATGATAATATGATCGGAAAATGAAGCGTTTCATTCACCCTAGATGTCGACTAGACATGGCGTCAGCAGCAAGTAGAATAGGGGGCAGCCAACGACTGTCGAGACGCACTCAAGAGTCATATCATCAGGTATTGGCCGACCGACTGGGAGGGGCGCAAAGGCTGTTTAGTGTGGGAAGCCCCATACTTCCGAGGCCAAGCGGACACTGCCAACTGTACTCCAGCCGGTCATAGAGCTCCCGGAGCCATCTGCTCTTGGGTCACTCAAAGGTGCTGCAGCAACGACATAGATGATAGTGCCGGCACAAGGTTTGAACCAGAGGTCTGCTAGTAGGGTCGAGTCATGAGTCTGTCTACTCTGGGGGTAGTCATAGGGAGATGTAGGGGGATAGAAAGGCTGATGGGTGGGAAATATCATATACGATGAGGTTAGGAAGGAACCATCGAGCAATACTTCCTGCTCCTGCGGTGTCAGGCCAACTCACCTGACCCCCGCCGGCTCATCCCAAAATGTTCCCCCCAAAAATGATGCTTCAAACTCAAATAATGCGCAGGTTTGATTCGTAGATATGATGCGGATGCTCATAGTTATACTGGAATATGTGCTGCAAATGGGTATCCCAAGATAAATCACACCGCCCATACTAATACAACCTCCCGATGCTACATCTCACAAAACCCATAATGCTCCAACACCGTCCCATGAGGATGAATATATGCGCGCCCAGACCCAAAAAGGTGGAAGCCGGCCAGCATGATCAACATAACCCGGGCAGAAAGGGAAAATTTCCCTGTCGGTGTTTGTCTTTCAGCCACTGACAAGGCCCATTAAAAAGGCATATAGGGAATGAGACCAATCAAAGAATGCTTGAGATGCATGAAATGCGAAAGAAAAGGTATCGAACGTAGGAGAGAAAACCATGGCGAACAGAAAAGGAAATGTGGGAGGAATGAAAAGGTGGCTCATAGGTCATGACTCTTCGTTGCATTGGCATGAAAACATGACGACCAAACTAAGCCCATAAGCTAGTAGGCAGATGAAAAAGAAGAAGAAAGACAGAAAACATGCGCCGGTATAGTAGTGTAAAATCAAGGTGCCTCCTTCTATAGAACAGCTCAGAAGGACCGGGAATAAATAAAATAGACAACCCTCCCAAAAGGAACGGGAGAAACACATAAACCACCTGGGTTAATGGTTTTAAGCAGTCGCCAGAGGCAGACAAACAGAAACAGGCAGACCACCGTCAGGGATACACAGCCCGGAACAACGTCCGATCAATCCGTCGAGACCATGTATCAGTATCCTTCCTCGCCCGCCTTGCACAGCTTGATCTCCCGAACCCACTCGGATTTCAAGACTTGCGAGGCGTTGATACGGCGGGAAGGATTGGGATCCAGAATAGAGTAGATCACGTTTCGGCAACGCGCCTGGGAGACATTGTGAGCCAGTGTCCACTTGAAGCGAGGGGTTCGCTCAACACTTACCCGATGCAGAGTTTCAATGGGAGCGTAACCATCCTCATGCTTACGACCCTCCAGATAGCGTTGGTAAAATTCATCCTCATCCTTGCGGGCCACACGCCACAGATGGCGTCCAGTCCTCATGGCCATGTAAATAACACCCGTCGCCCATACGTCCACCGCTCGAGGGTCGAATTCCTTCTCGACGTATTCCTCCGGGGCGATGTAAGGGGCTGAACCACAGAGGCCCGCAGTCATGTGAGCTTCCTTTTCCCACGCCATGCGGAAGCATTCACCATTTCCGAAATCTGTAATTTTGAGAGCTCCGTGGGTGGTCAATAACAGATTCTCAGGCTTCAGGTCACGGTGGGCAACACCCATTTCGTGCATGTATTCCACGCCACGCATAAGCTGCTTGAAAAAACAATCTGCCTCGGCCACTTCCAGTTTTCCGGCCGCCAACACGAGGGTATAGAGATCGCCTCCAGCGCAGTACTCCATCACCTCACAGTAGTCACCTTTGGCATCCTGTAGAAGATCAAGGGTGTGAATGACGTTGGGGTGGCGAAGGGAAGAGGAAATGCAAAACTCCGAGGTTAATCGCTTCTGATACTTCTTCGTCGTCTCCTGTGGCCGACGACGGAACTCTTTCACGGCATACAGCTGTTCAACTTTCGAGTCCCTCGGATCCACCTTGTGGGATATCCGAACAATACCGAAGGCGCCACGGCCAACGATTTCCTGGCATTTTCCGTATTTGTCAACCAGCGAAGCGGTGGCGTTGGGGCCGCCCTTCTTGTCGGCGGCTAGCTTGTCCCGTTCGTTTTTAAACTGGTCGATCCATGTAGACATAAGCGATAGCTGTTGCTCGTCCACGTGATCATCCTTCTTCCTGCCACCGCCCAGCATGTCACGTAGTAGATCCGTCAGCTTCTCCTGTCGTCTTGCGCTGCGGAGGTGATGGTTATGAGTGCCATCTCCGGGCAACTCGAACCGTTTGTGAACGGGGGCAGCTTCTTTATTATCTTTGCCATTGCTGGACTTGGGCTTCTTCTCGGCCTCCTCTTTCGTAGACGCCTGTCGCGAGGGGGCTCTGGAGGATGGCTTGGAGTTAGGTTTGGAGGAGGGCTTAGAGGTGGGCTTGGATTGTTTGATGCTGGCGTTCGAGGGAGCTTTGATGCTTTCTGTACTGCTGTCTGAGAAGTCGCGATGCGATTCCTGCTCTTTCGGAGTCGACTTCCCAGTATTGGAGAACATGCGAGAGATGCGATTGGCCATGGTAGGTCTAGCGATCTTTGCGGGGGTGGGAGGAACGGGGAGGACGTCCCCGTTCGCGGCGGACAGATTCATGCCCGCTAAAGCACGTGTTACCTGGGGCTCTCCATCTCGGGAATCATAGGAGATCTGTGACGCTGTGGTGGAGGAGACTGCGGAAGGTACTGGTGAAGCAGATTGTGGAGTCATGTGCGGTAGTGAGAAATGAAAAGTACACGGAGGTAAAGAGGCACAAGAATGCCCCCCGTGACAAGGTGGGAGAGAATTAAAAGCCTACAGCACGAAGCTGCAAAGGCCAACGACAATGGCTATGGAAAAGAAATTGAGAGATGAAGAAGAAAGTTGGGAGGAACGGGGGGAGAGGGAGAGAGAAAAAAGTTGCGGTGGCCCCAGTCGGTCGTGGTGGTGGCCTGAGGCGACGGGGTTGTGTTCTTCTAGAGTGACGAAAGTGACTTTGGGTTGTGGAAATTACAATAAGACTTTTTTTTTTTTTCTTCCTTTTCTTTTCCCTTCCCCTCCGTTTTGTTTAGTCAAAGGGTGGGCAAAATTGAAAAGGGAAAATGAACCAGCGAAAAAAAAAAGAAAATCAGAAAAAGAAATAATGATTAAAAAAAAAAAAGAAAATTTCAGTTTAAAGAAAAAAAAATGATGCACGGCGTAACAAGGCACGGGAATGCCCAGATGGAACGGTACAGACAAGACTAGGGTCCTTAAGAGAAGACTTGGCTCGTTGCCTTGCGAATTCCACTAAAGTCAGGAGGGAAAACAGCTGTTGTGCTGATGAAAATTACCCCGGGGGAAAGGCTCTCGTAAGAAAATAGGGAAGAGTGAGGGAAGAGGGCTCAGGCTAGTCCACCGGGGGTGCCCAGGTTGAAATACCCTAACTGGTACCGTAGTACGCCGCGGGCGTCGTAGGTTGGTGCCGGGCAGGTAACCTAACCTGAAGTATGAGACTCTGGATGATGGAGGCAGTGGTCGAAGTAACCAAGCAATAGTTAGCTGAGGAGCACCTTATGGGGGGGTGGGCTTGCTTAGTTAGTAGTCAGTCCCCTCTTCTTTCTCCTTCCAGCTACCTAAAGGAACCACAGGTCTTTTTTAATTATTTCCCCCATTCGATGTATGGAATGATTTTATTATTCTGCCAATTTTTTTTTTATTATAATTATAGTCATATTATTAATAATCTTCAAATTGTGGGAACCTGCGTTGACCTCGAATGGATACAAGCCTCTGATTGAGGTTACAAAGATGAGGGACTTTCCCGTTGTTACCGCATGTGGAAGAAAGGATAGCCCCCTCTCTCTGTGTCTCTCTCCCTCCCTCGAGTCTTTGATCTAATCAGTTGGCCGTCTTTCTCTCCTTTTGTGCTTCCCCCAGTGTAATCCCGTGCTTGGGTCAGCATCGAGTAATACCAATAATAACGAAATCAAGGTGAAGAAGGCTCTCGCTACCGCCTCCCGTTCGCAGGTCTGCGTTGGCCTTCTGTTACTGTAACGGTATGGTATCATACAGTTGCAGCCACACTTGTTTCCACTGAACAATATTCTACTCTGGTCTCCGATGTAGGTACTAGTTGGTTGCGAGTCAAGTTGTATTTGATAGGCTTCATTGATTGATGACTTCATATGAAGCATTTTTTTTAGACCAACACTTGTTCCTCTAAAATAATCCCCTGATAACGAGTAGATTTGTGCATGGAAGAATAGCTGTGACTAGGGTACCTGTTTATGTGGGCAGTAAGTAGTATTCTACGTAGTGCTTAAACCGTAAATCCGTCACAATACCACAGTGGCGCGGGCGTCTTTGCTCCAGCAGTGCTAGTTAAGTGACTGACAACTTACCTGCTTTCTCTAAGAAAGACAGGGCTCTCCTGTCCTGCAAGACCAAGTCTCCATCCGCTGTAAGATGTAAGATTAATTCGGAAGATCCTTGGAGCTAATACTCCGTTACTGGGGCTGCTTCCGCGTTCACATTCATCAGCTACTAAGCACTTCCTCCGTGTTGCTTTTTTGCTAGCGATCCCGATGTCCAGTCGACTGCTTCGTTGTCCCGTCGTCATTTACGCGCAACCACTCAATGTTAGTTAAGAAAGTAACCGACTGTCAACTTTGCCTTTTCGACGTGAATGGGTCCCAGAGCCGATGGGATTGCAGATTGTCACTCTCCCTTTCTCTTTTCTTCTAAACCAGCTTGACTTTCCCCTCATTTTTACTACACGAAAATCAGTCGGATGACGTCCGCCTCGCGACCACTCTCAGCGCTTGGTCTCGCTTGGTCTCGCACATTCTCTTTTCCCTTCCCCCCTCCCCTCAAAATCATGACGTTTGTGTCATCGCCGTTGTCCGTATCGAGGATGCGATTAGTCACTGACTCCGGAACGACCTTAATTTTCGGATCACAACACTGCAGATGCCGCACAGCCTCAATCCAACCCTCGGTCCCCGCACATCATGGATGGAGGGGGGGACCGATGGCTTGGGTGGCTCACTGGCTCGAAGCACGAGTGGTCGGATGTTCGACTAGTATCGAGTATAGTACAATATAGTATAGTAAGTTAGTCAGTAGGAACTAGGTAGTTAGTAGGTAAGAGTTGGATGCCTGGCGTATTATCAATACTATTACGGTTCCGAATAATACCTATTACAAAGTAGTTAGTGATTTAGTATGTATGGAGTAAAACTAGAACCTTGGCCGGAGCTTCGTGTGGCGGCTCCTCACCAGCGTGGCAGGGCGGAGCCACCATCATCTTCAAGTATGACTCTGATTAGTGATGGACTGATAGTTGACTTGCTATGGAGTAGAGCCCATCACTTACTTTGTAAGTTACTCAAGGGTCATGCTACCCGCATGAGGGGTACCATTTTCCCCAAAAGAAAGTAAATCATACATCCAAAACAACACACACAGGTGAAGTAAATCAATTAAGTGGACTGCACCAAAGCAAATACTGTGGTTAGCGGCCAACCTGAACCCTCTTGACCCCCTTCCAAGGGGGGAAGCATCCACCAGTCGTTGGTTGCATTTCATGGTGGCCTCCTTCTCCATCTATGACCCCATTTCTGGTGCGCGCGCACACTCATGCCAAGCATATATCTCGTCTGCCTACAGCTGGCCATGTAGTGTCTGCTTAATCTCATGCGATCCTGCAGAGTCGTCTATGACAATCGTTGAGGGGCTGAGGGTCGCTAGTAGTAATTCAAGTAGTGCCACTAACCAGACGGGAAATACAGCCACTGCTATTACTTAGTCGGGTAGGTGGGCTGGATGCCCTCTCGGTGGCACCGATGCTAGTATTCAGCATATGCTACCACTACTATCATCATACTAGATATGTATGATGTTGTCAAAACATCTCCCCGCGCCAATAATGGAAGGTGCTACATGGACCTTCAGTTATACTTACTTACTACTTTTTATTGTCTGGACCACTGTTGGTAATGATGGTGCTTCTAGCCAACAGCATCTATTCTTGACTCGCAGAAGGGTAGCATCTGTCTTCGAAGGCCCCTTACTTGGATGTGTCCTTAGCCTGTGATCAGATGAAGAAATGACTATCCGTTTCTTCCCTAATCTCTTAACCTCCGGAGCCTTTTCCTTAGTCTGCGATGGAGGCAACTTTTCCTCGATGCACATACCTCCATTTGGGTGTCAGAGACTCAAATTGTCCCGTGGGGCGGCAAGGTCAGCAGGGTCCAAACTTCAAGGGCGAACGGATATCGAAAGTTATCAAACCTCATATTGTTTCTGGAGCTGATTGAGAAGGAGGAGGAGGAGCAGCAGCAGCAGGCCAGGCCGAGTCGGTCGCCGCCTCTCGTACCCCCAAGCGCTTTAAACAAGCAACTATAGGGTGCAAGTCAAGTAACTCTCAAGCCGTCTGGCGGTCATTGCTCTGCCGAGCATGTCCATCATTGGTATCTCAGAAAGCAGGGTAATCATCTGCAGCGCTACTATTACCTGGCGACCACTCGGGTGTGTATTATTGCAACAAACACTTCTGCTTTTATGCGGACGGGCTAGCGATGTCTTCCGGCTTGTCGCGACTGAACGAAAGGCAATATCCACCAGTGCGCTAAAAAGGTTGCAATGACGTGGGTTCTCCATGAACAGCTGCACCGGACCTCGGTCGTAAAGGTATTAGGTTGGCGGACCTAACTACGATTTGAAGGAGGGTACGGAGTACTACTACTGTGTAGCTGACTTGGTATTGGTGCAGTGGGCAAAGGTAGGGATGGTTAATGGATTGACAGCCACCCTGGCCCATGTCAAACGCATAGCCCGGATGTTGATTTGCGGAGATCCGCTGATAACCAGCATGCTCCATGGCCATACCTAGCTGTCCTAGCAAGCTGCTTGCTCCATCGAACCGACTTGTCAGTACTGAGTAGTGACTTGCGGAGAGCTAAGATAGCGTCTCATCTTGTTGGGCAAACAAATGTCTCGCAATGGGGCTATTGTCGCTTGCCAGGATTGTTCCACCCAGGGTAGTACGAACCCGAACATCCACACACAGAGAGATTTGGAGCTTTGAAGTTCCCACGCGACGAGGCTAGGCTAACTAAAAGTTGGGGGCAGAAGAAGGGGAGTGAAATGGCCTGCAGGAGCTAACTCGACACCATACCAGTTACTGCTAGTTACACACAGTTTACAATCCTCCTCACTCCCTCTAGAACACGCAGTATCGACCACCTATCGGATCCACCATCTACCACCAGTACCCGTGTTCCGGGTGGCAGGATATTATCCAGTGGATATGGAGTGGGAGAGGGAGAGGAAGAGGAATAAGTTGAAGGTGCGGCGGAAGCCCCATGCTTTTTTCTTTTTTCCATTTTTCATTTTCCCCCTTCTCCTCTCCACTACTGCATGATGTATCGACGGGAACACACACGGTGGACGGATCGCGTTCAGATTCAATTAGCACGAGGGATTTTTCCCAGCCAATGATAGGGAGAGCGATCCAACGAGAGAAGAAAGGGAGAAAAACGGTCCCGTCGAATTTAGCATGATTGTCCAGTCCGCGATGCAGCTCCAAGTGGGATGGGATGCACCACACCGAGTGGGTCGGTTCCGAGGACTCTCATGTCTTGTCTACATTACTAGTCCAAGGACACTAAACCTGGCCGAGTCATGGTGGAAAGCTAAGTATTGGAATTTAATCACTGATTCAATCATGGTTAGTCTAAATATTTCCCCTTCCTCCCCGGTTTTGCAATCCGGTGTATAGATAGTACGTACCCTAATTTTTCTACTGAAACCCGGGCAAGGGCTCCATTTTAAAGGTGTCCCCGCCAGTGGGGGATGTGACGGTGTACCGATCCAGCTTGGTGCGTGTGTGAGACAGAGATACTATCCAGTTTCTCACCAGTAAGAGAAAGAGGAAAAGGAGAGAGACAGACAGAGGGAGGGAGCTGAGCTCTGGATCTTCCATGAGCTAGACCTAAGCAGCTGCAAGAGCTACAGCTTGCTTTTTTATTTTATTCTATTTTCTTTGTTTTTGGAAATTACAATTAAATACGTATAGCTTTGCAGTCCAATCTCGATGAGACGATGGAATATCAGCAATCTACGGAAGTGAGGCCACATCTTCCGTACGTTAGAAGATGCAGTAGTTGATTGTGATTTGGACCGGATCGCTGATAAAACCCATGGATGATTTGGTGGGATCAACCCTGGCTTCGGCTGCATACATCTGCGGGCGCGACCAAAAAGCAAAAAGGTGAATGAACAGATCGGCATCGTATCGCCAGCCAGCTTACTTGCTATAAATGGTTATAATCATCAATTTTGTCAATCATTTATTGATCAGAGGAAGAAAGAAAGAAAAAGGAAGTGAGAAAAGACAAAGCATAATTAAAGACTACTACTGTGTAGTACTACTTACTTACTTAGTACTACTACTAACTGAAGAAAGTTGAACTGGCAATCATAGTTGGGGAGGGGAAAATTCCACGAGGAAAAATGAACGAACGTTCGGAAACGAGGAACAACCGCTTTCCGATACGGTTTCCGGCTAAGAAATACCCACGAGTGGATGTGGATGTTTGTTCCATGGATACGGATGAGGTACGCGTGCAAACTAGTACTGCTTCTTTACCTCCTCATCGTTTTCCTTCTTTCTCCTCCTGCCGAAAAAGACCCGGCCGAACCCCAGCCTGGTTATGGATACAAAGATGGAGAATAAGTCCGGAGTACTCCGTACTAGGGTAGAAACGGACTTAGTTAGAAGCAGGGGAAGTAGGGTCTGTCTGTCTGTCTGAGTTGACTTAGGCACCATCGTCGGCCAAATTGATGACAATATGGCATGGTGTTTGATTTTACGTACGGGGAAAAGAAAAGAAATACTGCCAATGCTAAAGCCTGTCAGGTAGTAAAGCCTAGGTATCTACGGAGTAGACATTTAACTACTCGGTATCTATCTAGTAAGAGAGAGGAGAAAGAGAGAGAGAGAGAGAGAGAGCGCTTGGTTGACCGCTAGTATTCCGATCAGACAACCCCATCATTTCATTTCATTCCATTTCATTTCCATTCCATCCCGCGGAAACAATAAGGAAATAATCTATTCATGCTTTTCAACCCTTGTCATTTCATTTTCCCTGCGCTCACTGATGGGATGATCGAAACTGCCAGAAAGGCGACCGCCACCCGATTGATGAACATGATGAACATGGATCCCGATGACGGGGATAATAATGCCAGTCAACAAGACGCCGGGGTCCTCGTAATTCCAAATACGGGTGCTGTTCGCTACCCTTCTCTTCTTTCCTCTTCATGTTTTTCCCCCCTTCTACCTTCCCTGTAAAGTATGGTGAAGATCCAATCCAGGACCAGCGATCAATTGCGGGCTGAACCAGTCTGTGGCGGGAAAAGAGAAACTTGCCATGTGGTATGATGATAACGAAATGGATCCCCGAACATCCTTAATTTCATCGTCATGGGTGCTTTGCTCCGTATTCCCCCCCTCCCCCCTCCAATATGCGGGATCCAGACAGCCACCGCATGGTGATCAACCATCCGTCAGTCACCCTGTAGCTAGGGTACCTAGTAGTGACACTGAGAGAGGTCCTTGCAATCAATACAATTGGTTCTACTCTACAGAGAAATGCAGCATAAAACAGCAGCAGAAACCTGAGCTACAGCTACAGCTACTCACAACTCCAACAGTTATCTCTACCTAACTACAATACTTGTTTGTTTGCTTGCTTCTTGCTTTCGTATCTCCAAAGATGATCTTCCCCTCCTTCCTCCATCTTCCCCCTGGTTGGACATTCCATTGCGGGATATGACTTCACAGGCACACGGACTCCGCGCACCCCGTCCAACCCAACGTTCATAATCCAACAGCGACGAGAATGGAGTCAGTGGTGGCTTGGGATGCGGGTTCATTCGCCCGGATTACGGTAGCAGTGGGGAGGGTTAACTGTTTAGTTTGCTGGTCCTCCTCTTTCTAGGATCCCTCTCCACGTAAACTAGCCGAAGAGAAGCGAATGACTGCACGGGTAAGCCGGTTCAAGCTTTTTGTCGCATCCGCGTGTTCCTTTCCCGAGTCAGATTAAGCTGCTGCTTCCATTTCTCCCTATATCTACAGATTTACAAGGTGCTGCAATGGCTGTGGGTTCGAAACTCTACATGAGGGACGGTGTGGGACTGACTGCAGCAACTCCCGGAATTGCCTGCCCTTCCTTTGCCCGACGATCGGACAACTGCTGCTGCTGCTGCAGTCTTGTCAGGATCGATGTATATGCCCAACTAACTATCTGCTAACTTGCCTAATCTTAACCAGCTAATTGACTAGTTAACTACTACTCAGTTAGTATGACACTCAAAAGGACAACTCGCACATCTGCCCGGCAACACGGCACATCCTCATGTCGAAGTATCAGCTGATTGTAATCGGAGACATAAATCCTGATCATGCGGAGACGAGACACTGAGACTGAAAAAGAACTGAACAGTTCAAACATCTCGGACATCACCTTCATATGTATTCGTTTCTTTCCGACTCCCCGACTGACTCGACTTAATGCTTGCGCTCCGATTCAAGTTTGTCCAGCAAATCCGTGACGAAAACAACAAAGCCCATCTACCAAGACCGGGTATAGACTTGGCTTTCTCTCTCTCTCATCCTGCGAAAGGAAAAAAGAAAAACAGCCAAGCTGCCCGTGCTGTGCAGAGGAGAAACGGCCCAAGTTCCTCTGACCGTATCTTCAACAATATTTTTGTTTTTTTTTTAAAGTTGATCGCCCCGTGAGTCACTCACTCACTGCGAGAGCTGAGCTTACTTGGCACAAGCACAACTCGTGTTCTGGCGCACGGCTTAAGCCGACCCGTTGTACACAGCCTGCTTCTCTCTCTCCCTCTTCGGCTATCCTCGCGCGAAAGGAAGGAAGGAAACAGTCAGATGAACCATGTCAAATAGCATTTTTGGTTTTAAAAATAGGGTCATAATGGAGCTCCCTTATTGTGTGTGTACATACACACCC